TCCTCCTCCTTATCATCAGCATCAGCATCATCAGCATCATCAGCATCATCCTCATCATCATCAGCAGAGCATCCACATTATCCCCATCATCACCAGAAATAGCATCAGCATCGTCATCATCATCGTCATCATCAGCATCATCATGATCAGCATCAGCATCATCAGCATCATCATAAACATGACCATCATCATCATCACCATCATCAGCATCGTCATCAGCAGCATCAACATCATCATCAGCATCAGCAGCATCGTCATCAACATCAGCATCGGCATCAGCATCATCAGCATCAGCAACATCATCATCATCAGCAGCATCATCAGCAGAAGCAGCATCAGCGTCACCACCACCACAACCAGCATCGTCAGCATGAGCATCATCATCAACAGCAGCATCGTCATCATCAGCATCAGTACCATCGTCATCCCCATCATCGCCAACCTCGTCATCAGCAGCATCATCAGCGTCATCAGCAGCATCAACATCATAGTCTTCTTCACCCATCAGCATCATCATCATCAGTATCAGCATCATCATCATCATCAGCATCATCATCATCATCAGCATCATCATCATCATCATCATCAGCATCATCATCATCATCATCATTAGCATCGTCAGCATCGGACGCATCCTCATCAGCGTCAGCACTAGCAGCAGCAGCATCATCATCAGCAGCAGCACAAGCATCCTCCTACACCTCCTCCTCTTCCTCCTCCTCTTTATCCGCTTCCTTCTCGTCTTCCTCCCCCTCCCCATCCTCGCACTCCTCCTCTTCCTCCCCATCCTCCTGCTCGTCCTTCTCCTCCTCCACCTTCTCCTGCTCGGCTTGCTCCGCCTCCTCACCCGCCTCCTCCTCCTCCTCGCCATCCTCCTCCTCCCCATCCTCCCCATCATCATTATCATCAGCAGCATCATCATCAACAACATCATCAACAGCATCATCGTCATCATCAGCATCATCAGCATCATCATCATCATCATCATCATCATCATCGTCATCAGTGTCATCATCATCATCATCAACATCATCATCGTCATCAGCATCTTTATCATCATCATCGTCATCATCATCAGCATCGGCATTATAATCGTCATCAGCATCAACAGCATCATCGTTGTCGTCAGCATAATCATGCTCATCATCATCATCAGCATCATCATCAACATTTTTATCAGCATCATAATCATCAGCATCGCCATCATCATCATCAGCAGCGCCATCGTCGTCATCATCATCGTCAGCATCATCATCAGCATCATCATCATCGCCATCATGCTCATCATCAACAGCCGCATCGGCACCATCCGCATCTGCATCAGCAGCACCAGCAGTGTCAGCATCATCGCCATCATCATCAGCATCATCAGCATCAGCAGCAGCATCATCAGCATCATCAGCATCATCAGCAACATCATCAGCTTCACCAGCATCATCATCATAATCAGTATCATCATCAGCATCATCAGCATCATCATCAGCATCTGTCATTGCATCAGCAGCAGCATCGTCAGCAGCATCTCAGTCGTAACCAGCAGCATCACCAACATGACCATCATCATCATCATCAGCATCAGCAGCAGCACCACCATCATCATCATCATCATCAGCAGCAGCATTATCATCACTATCATCAGCAACAGCAACATCACCATCGTCAGCACCAGCATCATCATCAGCATCATCATCATCAGCATCAGTATCATCATCATCATCAGTATCATCAGCATCAGCATCAGCGTCATCATCAGCAGCAGCATCTGAATCATCAGAATCATCATCATCATCGTCACCATCATCAGCGTCAGCATCATCATCAGTAGCATCAGCAGCACCACCATCATCATCATCATCATCATCATCAGCATCATCATCATCACCATAATCATCATCATCAGCATCATCATCAGCATCAGCATCATCATCATCATATCCATCATCAAGCATCCCTACCAGTATCACCATCAGCTACAGCACCATCATCGTCAGCATCATCGTCAGCATCGTCATCACATTCAGCAGCTTCAGCATAATCATCAGCAACGTCATCACCATCAGAATCATCAGCTTCACCATCATCATCATCAGCAGCTTCATTATCAGCATCATGAGCACCATCAGCAGCACCAGCATCATCCACGTCCTCTTCATCATTAGCAGCATCAGCAGAAGCATCATCATAATCATTATCAGCATCATCATCCTCATCAGCATCAGCAGCATCATCATCGTCATCATCATCATCATCAGCATCGTCAGCCTCATCAGCATTACAATCTTCAGCAGCAGCATCAACATCATCACCATCATAATCGTCATCATCATCAGCAGCAGCATCATCACCAGCATCATCAGCACCATCATGAGCATCATCATAAGCAGCACCATCATCAGCAGCACCATCATCAGCGTCGTCATCGTTAACATCATCATTGTCAGCAGCACGATCATCATCAGCAGCATCGCCATCATCGACAGCATCATCAACAGCAGCATCATCATCATCATCGTCATCATCCGCATCATCATTGCCAGCAACATCATCAGCATTATCATCACCAGCATCATCATCATTAGCATCATCCGAGGCATCATCATCAGCATCATTATCATGATCCGCTTAATCATTCTGGTCGTATTCCTGCACGTCCTCCTTCTCCTCCTCCACCTCCTCCTCATCATCATCATCATCCTTCTCCTCGCCCTCCTCCTTCTTCTGCGTCCTCTCCACATCCTCCGCCTCCTCCTCCTCCGTCGCCTCCTCCTTCTCCTCCTCCACCTCCTCCTCCGCCTCATCCGCCTCCTCCCCATCCTCGCTCTCCTCCTCCTCCTCCTCCTCCTCCTCGTCCTCCTCATCCTCCTCCTCCTCCTTATCATCATCAGCGTCATCATCATCATCATCATCACCATCATCATCATCATCATCATCATCATCATCATCATAATAATCATCACCATCACTATCATCATCATCATCATCCTGATCGCCTCCTCCTCCTCCTCTCCTCCTCCCCTCCTCCCCCCTCCTCCTCCTCAACATGTTCCTCCCCCTCATCCTTCTCCTCCTCCTCCGCATCATCAGCATATTCCTCCGCATCTTCCTTTCTCCTCCCTCCTTCACCGCCTTTTCCTCCTCCTCCTCCTCCTCCTCCTTCTCTTCCTCCCCCCTCCCCTCCTCCTCCCTCCCTCCCCCTCCTCGTCCTCCTCCTCCTCCTCCTCCTCCTCCTCCTCCTCCTCCTCCCCCTTCATCCTCATACTCAGCCTCCTCCTCCTCAATTCCTTTTCCTTCTACGTAAATAACTTCCCATTGCGCCGGCCTTGCAGACGTGCTACAGCGGATTTGCGCGTGGATTTCTGTCCATGCAAAGCCCCGAAACAACGAGCGAAAAACGAAGTGAATTTGACGTGGACGTTTTGTGATCTTCATTCCTGAACAAAAAAAGCGCACGAAATTCATTTCGAACCCCAGAACGACATTCACCAGGACAAAATGGGCCCAAGCCATTGTTCTCCGAACGACATCCGCTCTGCGGTGTTGGCGCCATGCAATTTCTCCCTGTCGCACCCCGAAGCCAATTATTAAGGCGGGTTGGGCGTCTCGCCCGAGACATCCTCACCATTCATGACTTTGAAATTCAAACATTGACAGCCGTGTCACAAATGGAGGGCGGGCCGTTTTCAAAATGTGGTTCTCGCCTCAGCGCCGCGCACAATTGTGTTTACAAAACTTTCATTGGTTGAAGGCGAATCGTTGTCAGAATGTGGCTTTCGCGTTAGCGCCGCGGAAAAATGTGTTTAAAAGTTCAAAACTCTCAAGGATTGAAGGCGGATCGTTTTCAAAGTGTGGCTCTCGCCTTAGCGCCGCGCACATGTGCTCGAAAACGTTGCAAGACCTTCACGGATTGAAGGCGGTTCTTTTTCAATGTGAGACTCTCGCCTTAGCGACACGCACATTCGCTTACAAACTTTGCAAGAATTCCACTGGTTCCCATTATCAACGTACCAGAAATGATTTGTTGGAGGGGTTCCCGTTTTTGCGGGCGCAACAGTTACGTTGATTCGCGGAGTTGAGGTCCCAAGAGTAGAATTCTGACACGACTCAGGATCGTCACGACGCAACAGTCAGGTTGATCCGTGACGCTGGAATCCCAAGAGAGTTGCCTTAGCATGCTTCAGGGTCTGAAAACTGTCGTCTTCCAACGAGGCAGGTCCTTCGATGGGAACGAACCGTTGCAGGGGCCTACGGGGAACTTGGAGGGAGGCTGATTAAGTGAAACATAGTTGATGTCTCCTGGGTTTACGCTGGCCCTCCTCCTCCTTCTCGTCCTCCTCCTCCTCCTTTTCCTCCCCCTCCCCCTCCTCCTCCTCCTCCCCCTATTCCCTCCCACACCCCCTCATCTTCCCCTCCTCCTCCTCTTCTCTCTCTCCACCTCCTCCTCCGCCTGCTCCTCCTCTTCCCCCTCCTCCGCCTCCTCCTCCTCCTCCTCATCATCATCCTCATCCTCCTCATCTTCCTCATCCTCCTCCTCCTGCTCCTCCCCCTCACCATCATTATCCTCATCCTCGTATTCCTCCTCCTCCTCCTCCTCCTGCCTCCTCCTCCTCCTCCTCCCTCCTCCTCCTCCTCCCAACTACTACTACTACTACTACTACTACTACTACTACTCCCACTGCTGCTACTACTACTACTACTAATACTACTACTACTACTACTACTACTACTAACGACTACTAACTACTACTACTACTACTACGACTACGACTACGACTACTGCTACTACTACTACTAACTACTACACTACTACTACTCTACTACTACTAAATACTACACGACCACTACCACTACCACTACCACTACGACGACTACTACTACTACTACTACTACTACTACTACTACTACTACTACGTACTTCTCCTTGTACTTCTACGTATACTTCTACTTATACTTCTACTTCTACTTCTACTTATACTTCTACTTATACCCCTTCTACTACTACT